CCAGTGGCCAGTGTGTGTGTGTGTGTGTGTGTGTGTGTGTGTGTATGAGAGCTCTTTAGCACGTAACTATAACTCAGAAATTACATCCAGGTAGTTTGAGAAACTGTATATTAGTGTTATCTGCTACATGTGAGAAACCAAAAAGCATAAAAGCACAGGCAAATGTGTTTGGTTTTTTTATTTCAAAGTCAATACAGATTTAGAATCTAAACATAATTTTTGTATTAAAAATTATATTCAGGATTTTTCCATAGTCCTACCTCTACGCAAACTCACTGGCTCTCTGCATATAAACTAATATAATCTACAACATCTGTTTTCACTGCACCATCAGGCAAGAAACTTGGAGCCACAATGAAAATGGCTAGTCTTTTATCGGTCTAATGGTTCTTTGTATTGTTGGCTTTTTTTCTGTGATATTCATGACCAATAGTGAAACCAGCACTATAAGGTATGCAGAAGTTAAATAAATATGTTATATTATGTTGGAATGCTTCTATTAATGCTTTTTAATATAAACACATTCTTGGATTAAGGCTTTGGAGATTTCCTTCAGCAGCCAATGACAAATAAACGTTTCTTGTGGAGACTCAAACTTGCGAATGACTACTCTGCAACCAGCCAAATGAATCAGAGCAAGCTTTATAATTTAAAATTCAGCGTGGCTTTGAACGCACATTTCATGTGGTTCCTTTAGTTTCCCCCCAAATGTGACCAATCTTTGAGTGTCCAAAATTGTATATTAAAGGCACCCTCCCCCCTTTTTCAAACAATCCTCCCTGAGGGATTACATTAAGTAGAGCTGAGCAAAAGCCTAGCAATCAGAATTTATAGTTTTACTCCTGGATGAATTGTTAATTATAAACAGAAGGGTAAGAGTTAGGAAATTATACTGAACATTTGCCTGCTTTAATAGCAAGCTGGATGCTCACATACGGTAATGATATTGTTAGAACTAATTAGGAGAGGGAAACCGTAAAAGGTTGAGAACTACTCAGACAATGAAAAAAGAAAGATTTTGGCTTTTCTGCTCTGACTACCAGTAACACACGATGAGGTAGAGTATGTTGGAGCTTTATGAATAAGTTATTATCTTGGTTTATAAAAAAGAGCTTATATGCTTAGCAGAGGAATATCCACTCTTCATTCCAGCAATTGTCTTTTCCAGTAATCTACAAAACAATTCCCACATAAAGCAAAAAGATACAGGAAAAGCCAAGCACGTATACATAACTAGCAGGGACAAGCAAATAAAATGTGCATTGCTGTGCATTTAACTGCTTTCAGTCTACACATGATCCTTTTTAATGTAATCATTTTTATTGTACATTTCAAAGGATACCAAAAAATGACTTATGTATACAAGGTATAGATTTGTATATGCATAGTTCTCCCATTGCCTTGTAGTCTTAACGTTTAGTATAGCTGAGAGTACTGGATGTAGCCAGTGGAACAATGTGTCAGGTACTCATGCCAACAAAGAAGGCGGAACATGGATTAACCATTGCTTTGCTTTGACCTATATATGTGATATTGGGGGTTGTATGTTTTGTGCGGTCCACAGTGCAATGATTACGTTGCAGAATGGTATGTTTTGGTGAACGTTACGTTGGCTATACACTATACGAATTTTGGCCAGTGCTTGATGAACCGGCCAAAATTTGCACAGTGGGTGCCCCTGTTGGCACCCTTCCGCCTGGCATCCCTTGATCAGAAGATTGAAGGAGCAGCTTAGAAAATCTTCGGCCCAACGGTGCTTGCATTCTGACAGCGGTTGGTGCCACTGCCAGAATACAAAGCTCACAACGGGAGATTCGTCCCATCGTTTAATAACAAAGAAAATATCAAGACCAGATAAACACACAGTGGGAAGGCATTGTGGTGACTACTCGAAAACACACATCTGGGACCACAGTAAATTAGCCTCTAAGTCCATCCAGAAAATAGGACAAAAGGGCATGGATGAGAGAATAATAATTCCATGCCTTCAATTGAATTACTCTACAACGTATCGCTATTTACCATATGCTTAGATACCTGTACTTAAGTGATACAACTAAATAAAATATGTTTGTAGAAGACCTCTGGGCAGAAAAAAATCTTAACCCTTGCAGTGGGGCTATGCGGAACAAGGGCTAAACGCTACCCATAAATTCAGACATTGTGGCTGAAAACATCTCTCTAGATAAGTAGGAGGAAGGAGGTGAGCCAGAAAAGGCTAGGAAGCCCTCTGAGGAGGGTACGATGAGATTAGGGATAGCGGTCTGGGCTACCAGAATCAGGACCCTTAAGGGAGATGTTATACACCCCCTGCTATTAACTGAGCGTGAGCTGGCAGGGCCTACTGACCCATTTACCTTGCGCCTATGATCTGCCATGTATAGTGAGAGATATCCCACTGGAGGTACTCACAAACATCACCATCATAAATGGAACAAGGGTATTGCTCAATGAGTATATATTTCATAACTATATAGTAACTGTGCCCCTATAACATGCTATAAAATCTATTAAATATGAAAAAAATAGAGCAGCTAGTGTCTTTGAAAACTGCAAAATGAATAAACCCACAGTAACAGGACTTTAGAAAGAAACTACAAAATTAGTTTTCACAGACCTAAACGTAAGAAACTGCAAGCAAATTGTAGCTGCAAGACTGCAAATTACAAATAAATGATCAAAAGCCTAACTGGCAGTTTACTGTTAAGATTTCAGTGACATTTATAGAATTAAAACAGTTACTGGTCAAAATTCAGGACATGACAGAGTAAATAAACAACACTCCTGCCATTTTCTTCTTTAATCAAGAAAACAGATTTTCCAGCTGACATGTCTGATTGCAAGCATATGGGAACGTGGTTATATAGCAAACAGCTAGGATTAAGTGTAACTTGAGCATATGGAGGTAGAGAAAGATTACTACTGTTCTTTTTGAGGTGCAGAAGGGTTCACAGGCTTAACCTTTCTATGTCCAAGAGAAGGGACATTGTTACAAAACTCAAATACAGATGGGCGAGTTGAACATGTGCAGATAAAATGATTTCTCTAAATCTTCATAATGGCAGTAGTTATAGCTTGAACACATAGGATTCTGATTCAGCCACATGCTTTAACCACTAAATTACACAATCAACTAAATAAGCCCTTCTATGATCCTTTCCTCTCTGTTTAGCAACAACCAGATGAAGTTGGACAATCTACTCTTTATATCTGCAAAGCAGTATGATTCCTGGGGACCACTGCCAAATATTTTCCTGATTAATAAGAAACTGAATTATAAGTGACACAAAGCAAATTAATAGATATTCTAATCGTACTTTTAAGTTTTCAATGAAAGCTACTTAACATGGATCTTCACTCTCTTCACCCACTTTCCATAACATTAGTTCTTCCCCCCTCCTTTCACACAATTGCAGATTATTTTTTTAAATACCTTTTTTTTTGTAACCACCAGCCCACACTTCAGTTATTATCATGTAGGTGAGAATGATGTACACCCAGCTGCCTGCAGTCTCCTGGGATACTTATGCCACGCATCCCAGAAGGCTTTGGGGAAACCAACTGAAAATGTGTCATCAGAGGTCAGCTGTCTCTTCCCGGTGTTTGCAGCCGCCCCTAGGTGACATAAGAAAAGAAGATGGAGGCACGGGACTAGGTGTGCAACAGCAGAGGGGCAGATTAGCTGGGTGTGTCAGTATGTTATTTGAGGGGATTATAAAATAAATAATGAAAAAAAAACATGGGGTGGAAGTTTCTGTTTCAGCCTAGGTTCCCACCTAAGCGATTTATCGCGCAACATCGTGCAAAACACAGATTTGCATTGCAGTCAATAGGGCCTGCAAAAAGTTGCAGGAGCTATTTTTGGGTGGTTGTCACCCGGTTGTGGTTCCTTAGAAATTTTTTATGCATTGAAAACTGCACTATTTTCACATGGTTTTCAAAACCAAAACATGCGACTACCGCGCGAAGAAAGCTCAGCGGCGCAATCGCCTAGGTGTGAACCTAGCCGAAAGTAGATGTGAACCTTAACTGAATGACATTTTGTTTTTCTGAAGAACTGTTTATCATTACGGGTGATCAATCCGAACCTGAGCCCCTCCAAACAAGGAAGATAAGGCATTATTCTCCTCGCAGCTGCATGTAAACAAAGGGGTGGGATGCTTGTGTTGACGTAATTTACCTTATATGGCCACATAGTCATATCAAATAAATGTAATTGACCCAATATAGGCATGTAGCCATATAAGGTCAATGGCATCCCTGCATCCCACCTCTTTGTTTATGTCAGGCTGCAGGTGGAGAAATCCCTGCTCACAGATGATTGGGCGGCACGGAAGGAACTTCCTTCTGTGCCGCCCAGGCTCACCAGATATTACTTTACTGAAAGCTGCAGATTTAAAAGCATTGAAAATAATTTTTGAAATTACTTTTACATGGTAAAGCTTATTTTAGTAATGTGGTTGATATCCAATGTTAAAAGAATACAAGACGTTACATAGAATGTTAGTCCTTTTTGGATTTTTGGATTTAGCCTGATATAAAGACTGCATGTTCACCAGAGGGAGGAGGAAGTGGGTACTACTGCACTGCAGCTGACCCCATCCTCTTTCCCCCACAACACCTCCACTTAATTTGCCACTCCACCAATGCCTGCCTCTGTGCTCGCTGCCACTGCATTCAACAGCACAAATGTGCATTTCTGTGCTCTCCAACACTGCAGTGACGCGCTCTTGCTTACTCATCCCACTTAAGGAAGTTTCTCTTTGGACAGATAATTTGCATACTCTGTTTTATCCCATTGGTATGTGTTTACAGACTTGCAGTTCTCTTTGCCTTTTACCCAGAATGAAAATTCGTCAACTTATGAAACTCCAATAAATTATTTATCCGAGTTCTGAAATAATCTACTTTAAAGAATCTCAGTTTTGAACTAAAAGCATGTAGTTCCTTATATTCTGGTTTGTAAAATCATATATGTAAAAAGGAGGAAAGAGGCTTACCTTGCCATTCCTAAACTGGAGAAATCAGGTGGCACTATGAGAACATCAAGCCTTGAGAATGGATGAACGCCCATCACGGAATAAGCAGCTTTGAGGCAATGAGGTAGTAAGGGAAGCAGCAACTCTTTACACCTATCAAGAAGGACATCTGGAGCAAAAACACGGTGAGGTATGCACATCTGGGTGTGAGCTTCAGGAATACTATAACGACATGGGTATTCCATGTGATTGCAATCTTGTCCTGATGATCTGGAAAAACAATGTAAAAATAGAATTGTTATTACTTAAAGAGAATAATACAATCATTATATATAGATTTTGGATACTTTTTTTTTACATATTTGCTTAAAAAAGAACTGTATTCTTTCTAATTATTTTAGACAGACATATGAAATATTGTAAAGTAAATCATGGTATGTGTGAACATTTAAAAGCTAACCTAGAACTAGACATGTTTTTCAGGTGAAGTACATATTTACCAAGTAAAGCGTAAGTATAATACATGCTGGTATTTATGTACTTGCAAAGAGAACACAATCCTATCCTTGAGAATGTCATCATCCCCAAAATGGCTCTATCTTTGCTCAAACATCATCTGGGGACATCATCTACTTTAATATGTCATTCCTGGCCAGCATCTTAATCTAATGAAAATCCTGGTGCCCATTCAGTAACCCTTATGATCTTGGCTGTGAGAATATAGACACTCAACCCAACTAGTCAGACACTTGCAATGCATATAGTCTGAGTAGGAATCACTGAGGAAATGTTTCCATTTGGTTGCAGCAGATTCAGATTGCAAACTTCTCCAAGCACACTTTTCGTAGGCAGAGTTTGAGAGGCTCTGTCTAGGCACTGCCATTTGAGTGGAGTTCAAGGACTGGTGTTTAAAAGTTGCAGGTGCATTATTTGAACTTATACTTTTGCTGTTACATCACAAATGTATTCATGAAGACTTGTAAATTTAGTAATAGGTCCTTTAGAAATCTTGTTTTGATATATAGCTGTAGATAGATAGATAGATAGATAGATAGATAGATAGA